CTAGAGTGAAAGTGGTAAAATTGACTAGAGAGTCTCAGAAACATCTCATCCATAGACCACTCTTAGTCTTCTTTGGTATTCTTTATAATGCTTAAGTATTTGATACACTGTCAGTCAGGTCTCATGACCCCAGTCTTGTATTTTTTCACCCACTCATTCACTTGCCAGATATTTAGCACTGGACACTATTTGAGATCCTGTGATTCAGCAGTGAACAAATCAAATCCCCTGCTCTCTAAGAACCTTACTAGGGGATGATGGACATTAATCCTATAAATATATGTCATAACAAGACTGCCCTGGTAGTAGTAACACACAGTGTAAGGTCTCTGCTCTGAGGTTTCACATAAATTGTTAGCCAAAAAGGATTGTTGAGAGTAAGAGACAAGTAAGTAAAGGATTTCAAATTTATTTGACCCTTGTTAAAATCCAGTTCTGCCCTGGCCAGGTAGCTCAGGTGGTTAGTGTTGTCTCCATACTCCAAGGTTGCGGGTTCAATCCCTGGTCAGGGCACATACAAGCATCAACCAGTGAATGCATAAATAAATGGAACAACAAATCAATGTCTCTCTCCCTCCCTCTCTCCCCCTTTCTCCCAAATCAGTTTTTTAAAAATCCTGGTTTTTTACTCTAGTCACTGTGCAAGTCACTTAACCCATGATACCAGGTGTAAATTGGGGCTACCAGGAAATCCGGACTTAAGTTGCAATTCTCAGTAATCCCAAATTTATTAAAAACTCCATAGGTGCTGCTAGAATGGCCAAGTGAATGAGGAATGTCTAAGCAGCTTCAGGAGCACAGCTTCCTGCAGAGTACGGCAGCCACAACTTCAGAATTTTTCACGCTAACTACCCTACCACAGGGACTGATGAGGTTTCTTGGTAGTGTCCTATGTTTTCCACAAATAAAGAATGCTCAGTCTTTCTCTTATTTCTACCCAGAGGTCAAGCCAGGATGAGCAACTAGACTGCAAGGAGGCTGGAGCTGGTAACAGTGAACTCGAGGATTCAACCATGATGAAGTGAGCAATGAAATGGGCACTCTAGTTCAGGATTCCAGAAGTCCTGAGCTGTTATTAAACTGATTGGTAAGATAATTCCCTTACAGGAGAGGCATAGAAGAAGGGACAAGAGCAAAGAAAAGTGGAGTAAGAGGATTTCAGGAGCCCAGCTCTTGCTTTGGCTGAGGAACCACAATAGATGTGTGAAAAGGGTGACAATAGGCTTTGCCCTACATTTCTCTGGATTATAGTGAGAATATCTGATCCTGTCTATGGGAAGTGGTTGGGAATCATTGAAAAAAAGGACTGTGTCAACTGAAAAATTTGATCAATTAGTTTTAAAATGTTTCAATGAGGGAGGGAGGTAAAAAAACCTTATGAAGACCCCTAGTAGTTCGTTTAGAGGGGGAAAACGTGGCTTTTAATGAATATCTGAAGGGTTGAACCAAACCAAGAGGGTAATGGTGCACTACTAAAGAACTCTATAGACTTGGGGATGTTGCCTTTTGTGCAGCCTATTTCAAATTCATTCTCAGGTGGTGCAATATCAGGTTGTGTTAGGCAATGATACATAGACAGTAAGGTAACAGAGATCATAACTATAGGAAGCACCTACTACACATGGGGCTGGAAAAATACAAGAAAAAGTTTGTGTTTATCAGAACTTGGAAGCTTGGAAGAGAGGCCCTGCAGAGCTGGCATTCAGATCTTGAGGGGTTGGTGGCTAGGTGGTGCTGCCTGAATGGCACTTGTATTTTTTTTTTCTAATCCCTACCCAAGGATGGAGATTTTATATATATATCTATATATTTTTTTCTTTTCAGAGAGAGTGGAAGGAGAAAAAAGAGAGAAACATCGATGTGAGAGAGAGACACACATCAATTGGTTGTCTCTGGCATTCGCCCCAACCGGGCTGGGGATCGGATGGAGCCTGCAACCGATGTGCCCTTGGCCATATTCGAACCCGGGACACTTCAGTCTGCAGGTTGACTCTCTCACCACTGAGCCAAACTGGCTAGGGTGGCACTGGTATTTCTGGGGGTACAGTGAGGATGGTTCTAGAAGATAGTGTCTTTGTTCACTGCTTTATATCTAGCTCCTACTATAATACTTGGTACACTATAGACATTCAAGTGTTTCTTAAATAAACGTTCTCCAATTCTTACCTGTCTACGCCAGACCATCCAGAATAGCTCACAGGCAAGGGCTATGAGCTCTTGTACCTTGTTCCTTTTTCTGCCCAGCAGACTCAAGAATAAAGCAATTTGGCCTGGCTGGGTGTCGCTCAGCAGTTGAGCATTGACCTATGATCCAGGAGATCAAGGTTTGATTCCCAGTCAGGGCACATGCCCAGGTTGTGGGCTCAGTCCCCAGCGGGGGGCATGCAGGAGGCAGCCGATCAATGACTCTCGTCATTGATGTTTCCATCTCTCTCTCCCTTTCCCTTCCTCTCTCTGAAATCAGTAAAAAAAGGATATATTTTAAAAAAGAATAAAGCAATTTGGAGGGTAGAGGCAACCTAAAACTGCAAGGAGGTCAACACTTGCATGTTTTCCCTGGCCACTGCAAACCCATGAGTGGGAGAACCCTAATACTGAGGCCTCATTGAGTATCTCCACTTCCTTAGCATTTTCATTGACTTTCACTAGCTCTGCTCATTTATCAAATCTAAGTTCTTCAAGCTCATATCCAAAGCCCACACTCACTCATCCCACAGGCTGTATCCTTTCCCTCCAAGAATCACCAATGAAGTCAGGCTGACCAAAACAGGTCACATTCAAGCCCAACTCTTTGCTTTTGCCCAGGATTTTGGAAGATGTTAATTTTTGCCTCTGCGCAGAGTATGTAAGTATGTGACTCTGGGAACTTGCCTGCATAGCTTGTCATAAGGAGTATGCTTAAGGACACTGTATGCAGGGAAATGTGGGGTGGTCCCAGAAAGGCTCAAACTAAGGAAACAAGTATATTCTTCTGTACTGCGGTTACTGCTTCTTTTCCCCCAAAATTTAGATCAGTGAGTTTTTTTGTCTTTAAGGTACAATGTATTCTTCTTTGCTCATATTGAGTTCCTCAAAAAAACTCAGAGACCGTATACTTAGTTTTCTTTTTTAAAAAATTTATCTTTATTGTTGAAAGTATCATAGATGTCCTCCTTTCCCCCCCCCATCACCCCCTCCACCTGGCTGCTGCCCCTTCCCCAGGCTCACTTGCTTTTCAACATAGCTCAGCCAAGGTACTAACATCTTGCTTATAAGGGCCAAGAACTGTATACCATACCTATCTTTTACCACATTTTATCTATGGAGGTTTCACAGAAGCTGAAATATCTATGCCTTGTTCTGGATCAGTATGTTGTAATTTTGGTTCCTAGTGCTCATCACACTTACTTTGCCTTTCACCTGCAGTCACAGCCTCCTGCAGTTCCTACACTTTCCTTATGCCTATGATCTCCCTTCACTGTGACCTCAAACCCTTCCCATCAGATTCTTTTCCTCCTCTCCCTATTTCTTGCCCCTATTCCCTTTCTGCATGTCCTACTGCCCTGAAGCAGTTTCTACACTTCGATTCTCTTCAGGACCCTGGAGGCAGTCACATGAATGTGAAGTTTCTAACAGAAAATTACAACCACAGACCAAGGAAGTGGAGAAATGTCGTTATTTTCATCACAAATAGTAATGCTTATAAACTTGTTTAAACTCTGTGAGAAAGGAAACCAAGAACTGGATTGGGGTGATGGTAAGATGAGAAATCTTACAAAATTAACCTAGATATTACACTTACTCTAAGCGTAAATTAGTTCGTTTAGATTTAGTATTACGTAATGGCCTAACCTAAACTTTCTTTCCTTTATTCATGGATGCATTGCAGAATAGTGATCGGCCCTGAAGGTCACGGTAGTATATAACACTAGGTGCCTAGAGATCAGTTACAGGTCTAGAATAGATCTAGGCTGTTAAAATTCTAGATGTGCTCCCCCAGGAAGGGGTAGGATTTCTTCCCTGATGTGGCCCAGAAACAGTTCTCAGGCCCCTAACCACATATTCTTTGTTCAAAACAAGGATACCCTAGTTTCCAGGCAGGAATTATGGGTTTTATAGCCTTCTTCCCTTCAAAGAAAAATGGAAATCCACAGTGAGACAGGACTGTGAAGTTCTAAGCAAAAATAGAAAGAGGGCTCTGCATTCTTAGGCTAACTGCTATTCCTGGACATGGTTCTTGAGATCCAGTTGTCAAGTTTATTTCTAAGCCAGGGATTGGCTAATAGAACTCTCCACAGAAGAAGAAAGTTCTAAGAAACACATGTTGGCGGGGCCAGCATGGTTCAGCGGTTAAGCATCAACCTATAGTCCAGGTGATTGTGGTTCGATTCCCAGTCGGGGCACATGCCTGGATTCCGGGCTCATCCCCAGGAGGGTGTGTGCAGGAGGTACCTGATCAGTGACTCTCTTATCATTGATGTTTCTATCTCTCCCTCTCCCTTCCACTCTCTGAAATCAATAAAGATATATTAAAAAAGAAACACAACAAAAAAACACATGTTCACCCTAGCTGGTTTTGCTCAGTGGTTAGAGCGGTGGCCCATGGACTGAAGGGTCCTGTGTTTGATTCTGGACAAGGGCACATACCTCGGCTGCAGGCTCCATCCCTCGTCCACATCAGGGCACATGTGAGAAGCAACCAATTGATCTCTCTCTCTTGCTCTCATTCTTCCAATTTCTCTGAAAAGCAATGGAAAAAATATACTCAGGTGAGGATTAAAAATAATAAAGAGACACATGTTGACCTAAGGAGTTGATGAGTCAGATTTTCTACAAATTCAGCACATCTCTTCCTTCCAGTGATGTATCACTTTTATGTGTATACCAATAGTGGATGAGGGGTGAGTTCTTAGTGAAGCTTTTCTCACACTGAGAGCACTTGTATGGCTTTTTCCCAGTGTGGGTTTTCTGATGGGCACTAAAGTGGGAGTTGTTGAAGCTTTTCCCACACTGGGCACACGAGTATGGGCTCTCTACTGTGTGGACTCACTGGAGAGCACTAAACTGGGAACTGTTGTTGAATCTCTTCCCATAGACACTGTACTGATAAGGCTTGTTCCCAGTGTGGGTCCTCTGGTGAAGAGTGAGGCTGGAGCTCTGGTTGAAGGTTTTCCCACATCTCCCACAATGGTATGGTCTCTCCCCTGTGTGAGTCGTCAGGTGGGCAGTGAGGTTAGAGTGCTCACTGAAGCCCTTCCCACATTCACTGCACTTGTGAGGCTTCTCTCCTGTGTGGATTCTCTCATGCTGAGCAAGATAAGAACCTTGGCTAAAGCTTTTCATACATTCACAGAGAATAGTATTCATTCCCCAGGCCAACATCACTTTCATTCTTTTATATTCTGTTGACAAAAATCTAGATATCACACCTACTCAGACAGTTCATTACTTTGGTGACAGTAACATACCTGGCTTTGGCCTTCCAATTTCACAACTCAAAACAAAATCCCCTGGACTACCCAGATAACATAAGGGTTTAGGTACCACTTTTCCCCATATATAACCTTCACCTAGCCAAATGAATGGCTTTATGTTGGGTTCCGCTATAGGTTTTATCCCCGCATACTCCCACCAGCGAGGGAACAGGAACCATCTTCAGTTTATAGCTGGAAGGACAAGGCCCGTTGTGGGGAAGTGTTTGTTTACAGATAATTAGTACCAAGGCACATGTACAGAAAGGCCCTCATCCAAGTGTCTCTGAGGCAGGACTCCCAATGTCCAGGACTGACTGCTTGCTGTCCATTTTTTGAGTTGCAGGAGTCTTGTGTGTCCTCATATCCTATCTCTTTCTGCTTCCATTGGCCTTGGCTTGGCCCTTTGGTCTTAAATAGCCCTGTTTGCTAAGCTCCTAGGAGAACTAGGGGATCCCTGTGAGGCCAACAGAGGTTTCATCTCCGCCTGAGAGGCACAGGGCTGGGGGCTTGGCCTTGCCTGAATTGATAGTGACTGGCCAGGAGGCTTCTGAGCTATGTTTGACACTGCTCCAGAGCCCGGTGGAAATGTTCATAGACAATCTCAGCAACTTCTCAAATAGTTGACTACTCTGCTGATACACTTGGAATTTCTTGTAAAACCACAGCTCACTGTTAACAGACAGGAAAGTCCTGGTTTCATCATGGTCAAGAGTGTACCTGCCACTTTCCCATCTGCCAAGTCCAGCTGTTTTGCATTGCCCTTTATTTTTTTTCTTCCCCCTTTGCTAGTGTTTCATGGGCTTTGACTCCAGTCCCACTTGTGGAACTCAGAAACTTTTCTTCACTCTGCAGCAGTGAATATGTGGGGTCCCTGTGTTTTCTCTGATTCAACCCAGAGATGACATTCAGACCATTAAGGGAAAACCCTGCATATAAAGAAACATGGAGGCCCAGCTGGGCGTGGCTCAGCGGTTGAGCATTGACCTAGGAACCAGGCGATCAGGGTTCGATTCCCGGTCAGGGCACATGCCGGGATCGTGGGCTCGATCAATGACTCATCATTGATGTTTCTATCTCTCTCTCTCTCCCTTTCCTTTCCTCTCTCTGAAATATATATATATAAATGGAGGAGGTATCAAGGCCAAAGCCGGCTGCAGAGTATCTGTCTGAATCTACTGGTCAGGGAGGCTTCTATGTAGTGGAGCAGCCTGGATGAGGCAGAGCTGATTTGAGGAATGAAGTGATCAGTCCTGAGACTGACAAAGGGCTCTTGGTGCCTCTTGAAGAGCCTGCACATAGAAGTGGACTGTCACAGTTGGGTTATTTTGTTAATTTCCCCTACCACTCAGGACATCACAGCTGTGTGTGAGCACATGTTCATTCATCTCTCACCTGTTCACTCCACAGTCTGTGCCTCACTGCTGTCCCCTGCTGTGTTTCTTTTACTCTGTCTCTTCTCCCCCTCTTGCCATGGACCCCCACATTCTCTGTCCCCACTGCTTTCCGTCTCATGCCCCCTCCCTTATTCTTGTTCACTTCACACATGCTGTCCATCCCTGTCGTGAGACCTCTCCCTTGCTTTCCTTTTCTTTCAGTGTCTGTTTGTGTCCTTCCCTGTGTCTTCCTTTCTCTGTCTCTCTCTCTGGTCTCTCTTTCTCCGTATCTTCCTTTCTGTATGTCTCTTGCCTACTCTCAGTATTTTCCTTCTTTACCTAACATACTCCCCACTGCCTCTGTTTCCTTCCTTTTCAGGTTCTTTCGGGCTCTTTTTCTCTCTGTACAACTGAACACATCCACGCTGGACCTAGAGGGAATGCAGATCCTCACCTAGGAATACGTTCCTGTCCTTCTTCTGTTTAACACCCCTGTAGAGGGCCTTCTATACAGGTCCAAGGTGCACCCGTCCTTCTGATGGAGGGATACAGTTCTCTCCTCACACATGACTGGCCCTTGTAACGACACTGGGGTCTGCTGCTACTGATGAAATAGCAGTGCTCTAGCCTGGGGTGGGGCAGAGACAGGACGACAGTCATCAGGTTGGAAGTAAAGCAAGGCAAGGGAGGTTAGGCCTCTGAGGGCAGGATTGGGGTAGGTAAGCAGCCATGTGATGACGCCGGAGTAGACAATAAGAAAACCCAGGCCAAGCCCAATGGACTACATAAAAGTCTGTCTAACATCTCTGGGAAAGAATGACTTCTAGAGTGAGTCAGTACAAAGTGAAATGGGAACTTCAAGAGAAAAACCAACCGCAGCTCACCTGGGTCTCCGTGGTACAGAGAACAGCACCTGTCTCCTGGTCTTGAAGACCCTTCTGGAGATGGTTCCCGGCAGCCTGTGCAGTAAGCCAGGCTGGGGGAGAAACATCCACTATGAGAGGGCAGCTTCCACATGGCAGACACAGAGCAGGGGTTTGAGTGGCGTCCCTGGGCCAGCGCATCAGCAGCACGTGGGAACCTGTCACAGATGCGTATTCCAGGCCCCACCTCAGATCTACTGAACCCGAAAGTCCAGAAGTGATGCCTGGCAGTGTTTTAACAGGCCCCCCCAGATGAGTCCAATGCACAAGTCTGAGGAAGACTTTCATAGCCAGTGGCCTCACGATGTTTAGAGGAGTTCATTTTACTACATTCTTCTTCCCATAATAGCTTTCTTTGTTTTTTTAAAGTTTTTTTTCTTTCATTCCAAAGAAATATGTATACGTTATAGAAAGAAAAATGTTAAGACAATAATGGTGGTGGTGGGCAGTATCTCATAGCCAAATACTAGAGATACCCAAATACTCTTAAAAATACCACCCTGGTGGTGTGGGTCAGTGGTTAGAGCGTCTGCCCATGCACCAAAGGGTTGTGGGTTTGATTCCTGGTCAAGGGTACATACCTGGGTTGCGGGTTTGATCCCCTGCCTGGTCAGGGTGCATGCCAGAGGAAGCCAGTCGATGTGTCATTTTAATATCGACGTTTCTCTCTTGCGCCCCCCCCCCGCCCCCGTCCCTTTGACTCTCTCTAAAAATCAATGGAAAAATACCCTCAGGTGAGAATTAACAAACAAAAAATACCACAGTAACTCAAGCCTTTCATTTTTATTTTTTCCAGACCAAGATAATATATTCTTTCCCAGATCCCACCTTCAGGAATTCTACAAAGAAAATGGTTCATTTTGATGACTTATTAATGCACCTTCAAAGGACATTCAGAGGTCTGTGACCTTGGGGAGGTTACAACACTTGGGATCTGAATGGCCTGTGGACACGGTGAGTAAAGGGAACAGACCTGGAACACAGTGAGCGCTTGCCCCTCTTTATTCAGATCCCAAAGCCTCAGAAATCACACACCAGAGAACATAGATGTTCCCAGAGATTAAAAGGAAATAAAATGCTAAATGGCAAAGTTTAAAAACATATTGATAGAGTACTTGCATCATTTAAAAAATACAAAAGCACCCTAGCCAGTTTGACTCATTGGCTAGAGCACTGGCCCTTGGACTGAAGGGTCCTGGGTTCGATTCCAGCCAAGGGCACATACCTGGGTTGCAGGCTCTAATCCCGAGGCGTGCAGGAGGCAACCAGTTGATGTGTCTCTGTCACATCGATGTTTTTTTTTTCTCTCTCTCTCTCCCCCCCCCCACTCTCTCTGAAAAGCAATGGAAAAAATATCATCAGGTGAGGATTTAAAAAAAAAAAAATACAAAAGCAAATAAACCTCTTAAACAATTATCCATTTCATCAACAGAAGCTTGCCAATTTAAACAGCATGAAGACACCATGTTTTCCTCCAGGATTTGAGTTATATAAAGATGAGCTAGCTTTTAAAACTTATTTAACAACCTGCAATGGCATCTTTCAATTGAGCAGAAAAAGCAGCAGTGGGCTATCTAGAAATGTATGGAGCCAAAGTGCTTCATGGTAAGAGACTGATAAATATAGAGCCTTGATCTGTCCATGCAATGGAACATTAGTCAGCCCTAGAAAGGAATGAAGTAGTGATACATGCTGGAAACATGCTAAATGAAGAGGCCAGACACAAAACGTCACATATTACAGGATTCCATTTCTATTACAGATTCATCCAGAACAGGCAAATCCAGAGAGAGAGAATGAACAGCAACTGCCTAATGGTTCCAGCGTTTCCCTTTAGGGGAATAAAATGTTTGGAACGAGAGACGTAGTGACTGTATGACTGTGTTTTTATCCTCATCCAGGAGTGATTTTAGAGAGAGTGGAAGGAGAGGAGAGGGCGAGAGGAGAGAGAAACATCGATGTGACAGGGACACATCGATTGGCTGCTTCCCTCATGCACCCTGACTGGGGGCAGGGATGGGACCTGCAACCCAGGTACGTGCCCTTGACCTGGAAGTGAACTCACAACCCGCCGGTATGCAGGCCAACACTCTGACCACTAAGCCACACTGGCCAGGGCTGGATAACATTTGTAATGTATTAAATGCCACTGAATTGTTCACTTGAAAATGGCTAATTTTATGTTATGTGAATTTCACCTAAATTAAGAAAAATTTTCTTGAAATTTTTTTCTAAAAAAATTGAGACAAAAAAATAGAGCTTCTGAAGGAAATTAAGCTGGATGGGGCAGGGGATTTATTTAATGTCTTTAAGTACATGAGGAACTGCCATGCAGAAGGGTCATGGTAGACATGCTCACCATAATACAACTAATTCCAAAATAATAGAATTAAATTGTAATTAAAGAGAATTTGGCTAACATGCAAAGGATTTCCACCCTGTTAATGTGCTTTTACCATCAACTAATTTGAAGTCTTGTTTTTTAGGTATATTTCAAAGGCATTTAATCTGGAACCCAGGGGCAAAGTCAAGCTCAGACCTGCACTTCCCATAGATGATTGTTCCTGCCCCACCTCAGGTGAGGGTGCAGGCTTCTGCTTACCTTCTGACTGTTCCTAGGTGGTCTTCACTGTGAGCTCTGTGACCCCTTCAAAGTCTGTTCCTCTAGATGAACTCCCTGTTTCAGATGGTATTTCAGGGATTCTTTGGCTGCCCACAAAGGGGCTGTCTCCTGGAGGAGCACTTTTAAGTCCTTCCCAGGATCCAGGACCTGAGAGCAGGCCCCATCATCTGTCATTACACATCGCTGCCTATGCTGGACTTTACAACCCCTAAAAGTCGCATTAGAAAAGGATGTGACATGGAAGCAGAACAGAAATATTCTCAGGGCCACTGTAAGAAAAAGAAAAAGAAAAAAAAAAAGGATAGGATTTGGTCTTAGATGATTAAGATCATTTATATGAAAGCACCTTGTATAGAGCCTGCCACCAAAAGTGCTAAAGGTGGTATACTTTAGAAAGCTCCTGTGATCTCAACACTACTGCCGTTTCCTCTCCCCCCAAATCCACACATGATCAAGTGCAGACCCTTCCACCTTCAAAAGATCTTTCCATGGGTCCTCATTCTATCTCTGTACTCTCCAGCCTGTTCAAGGACACTATCCTGTCTGGACTGGGCTACTGTCATCGCAGCTTAACTGTCTACCCTTCATCCTCTCTGCTGCTGGACCCTCTAATCCATTTGCCTCAACACAGAATCCAGTAGATCTTTTAAAAATGAAAGATCACATCCATCCCTGATAACACTCTTTAGTGGCTTTCTATTGCACACAGAATAAAACCCAAACTCCTCTTCACAGCCTGAAAGGCCCTGCATGACGTGGCCCCTCCCTTTCTCTCTCACTTTCTCTCATACCACTCTTCTTAATCCTGAAGCTCTAGTCACAAACCCTCCCTTCTTTTTCAAATGTGCAAAGCCCTCCCCCACCCAAGGCTCTTGGAGTGTGCTGTGCCCTGGGGCTGCAGTGCTCTCCTTTCAGCTCTTGGCACAACCAGCTCTTCCTCCCTCACGTCTTAGCTCAGCTGTCCCCTTGGAGGACATTGCCCCACTACCTGTCTCCCCCAGGTCATTCTCTATCAAATCACCTTGCTCATTCCTTCAAGCGCATATCTGAAAGTATCTTTATTCACTTGCATATTGTCTGTTTTCTCCATGGAATGCAGGAGTCAGCAGGCCAGGGGCCATGTCTATCTTGTTCACTGTAAAATCCCCAATATCTGGCATATCATTGGTACTTAAAAATCAACTTTTTTCTTTTGTAGCCATCTTCATTCTTTAAATCCCAACTTTATACCTCGTCCTTAAAGTGCTTGAGAGGTACTGAGAGACAACTGGGTCTTGAGAAATGGTATCATCCTGTCACTTCTCACCTCCACTTGCTCTCCTCCACTTCACTGCCATGCTAGGTTTCAGATAGCTGTTTTAACCCTTACATTCCTGTACTGTTTTCATTCCTATTAAGAGTTAGGTTCTGGCCCCAGCTGTTATTGCTCAGTGGTTACAGCGTCAGCCTGTGCACCAAAGGGTTATGGGTTCAATTTCTGGTCAAGAGCATGTACCTGGGTTGCAAGTTGGATCCCCAGCACCGGTCAGGATGTATGCAGAAGGCAACCAATAGACGTGTCTCTCTCACATCGATATTTCTCCCCTCTTCCCTTCCACTCTCTCTAAAACACAATGGAAAAATATCCTCGGGTTAGGATTAACACCAACAAAAAAGAGTTTGTTTCTGAAATGGTGGGAAACAGCAAGGGAGAGATCATCACCAAGAGGAACTGGGACCAGGATGGTTATTAGTATATAGGGTTTCCCGCTCCATGTAGTTCACCTCTCCAAACTCAAACTTCATAAATGTGCTACTGCTCGCCCTTCTCCACTCCATTCTAATTATCATTAATAGTCCCAATCACATGGATTTTCAATTAACTTCTTTGATTTCTTACCTAATGCATTACCACCACCCTGCTCTTCCCTCTCCAAATTATATCAAAACTACAAAGTTTCATTTATATCCCACCTTCTCACAGGGAAACACAAGCCCTTCTGTTCCAGCCACGCAAACTCAGCACCCAGTGAGCTGCTTCCTGCTTAGGCCATGGACCCACTTAGGCTATGGCATTCCTCTGATCCATACTCCGCCCTTACTCTATGCCTCTCCCAGACTTCTGACCCGGATTTCAGATGCTGTTTTCCGCCAAATCTCCCACAACCAAGGCCCTACTTTTACTTTTTCTCCCACTGAGCCTTTTATACTTTTTTTCTCCCCAAATTTACAAGATTGTTACACTAATCCGATCTCAGGCCCAGTCCCTACCTCCACATGAGGATATTTTATGAAATTTGTCACTGTCCTTTACTGACCAGTTAATCTAGGCAACAAGTACCAACTCTAATACAACTTTGTCTGGTGTACCACCCATGGCATTGTGCCTTCAAGGAACCTTCTAGCAAGAGAGATTAGATTAAATTTCCTGAATTCCTTAGTGAAGGATAGTTGTCCTTTCCCTAACCTTCTTTTGGAGAACTATTCTGAGTATTTTTACCACTTTAATTAAGGACTCTAGACATTCACTGAATATATGAATGTGTAAGTTATTTCAGCAAATGTGAAATTCTTCCCATAGACTAAGGGCATAGGACTACTCAAGCTAGCTACTACTTTGGTGGGTGGCAGGGTACTAGTGTGCATTTCTCAACTAAGCACCTCTCCAGTAACTAGATTCCTGTGCTCCTCACCCCAACTTCATATAATCAAAACCACAGAAAAGGTCCTGACTCCCTTTTCTCACCTGTTGCCCAGGTACTCTGTACATCCTCAGTCAGAGCCACGGCTTCCTCATCATTTTCTGGATGCTGCTTCACCCAGGTCTGGATCTCCTTGGGCAAGATTGTGAGAAACTGCTCCAAAACCAGCAGCTCCAGGATTTGCTCTTTGAGTGTGTCTTAGGCCACAGCCACTGACAACAGAGTTTCCAGAGTGTGTTAAAAGCTTCATGGGGGCCAGCTACCTCCTGGTAGCAAAACCGCCTGAAGCACTGGCGGGAAGCAGCAAGGTCAAGGCTGTTGTGAAGGGCTGATTTCTGTCTCTGCGTGGAGTCCTTGCTTGGGGATGGCCTTGCCTGAGGACTCCGTTGCAGCCATCCTTTGCCTCATGAACTGGCTCGCTGGTTGCCACTTCCACCATGGGGCTCAGATTCCATCTCTTCACATCTTTGGGAAGTGGTTCTCCTGGATACCACAAAAGGAATCAGAGACATGACAGTGACATAGATGAGCAGAATCATAATTGAAAGGGGCCTCCCCGGCCGGATAGCTCAGTTGGTTAGAGCGTCATCCTGATACACCAAGGTTGCATGTTTGATCCCCTGTAGGAGACATACAAGAATCAACCAATAAATGTATAAGTGGAACAACAAATCGATGTTTCTCTGGGCCCATGCCTCTCTCTCTAAAAATCAATAAAACAAAAATTGAAAAAAAGAAAAAGGGCTCAATAAAGAGAGAATGGAAAAATACAGCATAAAACTGTCTCATATTCCTTCCCTCTGCTTCTTGTGATTTCTCTCCGTTTCCTTTATTCCCTCCACCTCTAAGCCAAGGACCTAAAGCACTAGAAATATGAAAAAATATAGTTTTCTCCCAGCAAGATTTCTCTCTGCTAATGAATTCCTCAAACTCTCATGTTCCCCATGTCTGGGTTCTGTCCCTGCCCTTCCCCACCCTCGAGCCTGGACCCACCTTTCCAATTGTCACTTTCTCTTAGAGTAAGTAGTATGTGAGTACCTCTTGATTAACCTCTTTATCACTATGACACCCTCCTGCTACCACCACCTACACAATGTGGATGACACGTGACGGTTTTGTTTTGCTGTATGTTGCCACCCCCTCCCCACCCAGCATTTCTTCCCCACTTCTTATAGCAGCATCTTCCTTTTTGAAAGAGCTCCTCTCTATCCTATCCTCTCTGGTGGGAAAATTCATTACAACACTGTTCTCCCTACCCTAGGGGTGGGCATCTGAAAAAGGTTGCGCCTGTCAAAATTCTGAGAGTGACTTATTGGTGGGTAGGGAGGAGTTCAATTTCCTGGGAATTGCTAAGTTGGGAGGATGTAAAACTGGAGCTATCTGCAATTATGTCCCACTCAACATTCCACTCCGCCAAAGGGGTGAGCCTGTTTACAGGAATAAATGGATTCAGGTTGCCTTCTTCCAAAGAACTTGGAACTGCCTTCATTTATATTACCTTTACATTTCAATATGGCAGTACGGGCTAGAGATAGAGGAATCACACACATTGTTAGCAGTCCTTTTTAACAAAAAAGGGAGCATCACGTAGCTCCTCAGCAGCAAGGCCCTCCCATGCCCGCTTGCCTTACACATTTTCGTACATCCCCACTTTATCTGGAATAACTGAATAAATGCTATCCCAGTTTCGTGCAGAAGGCAAAGTCGGCACTCCTCTTGGCCCTAACATCCCATTCATAACTTTAAAACTCTGGTCTCTCAAAAACGTGTTTCCTTCTGGCGACGATTCACTCAGAGGAAAGCATGAGAATGGGGACCGGATTGATTTACTTCAAGGATGGACTGAGTACTCCTAATGCACTCGATGTTAAAAAGGTTCGGTCCTGCGGCTGAAGTGGCGCAGGGAAACAGCCGCAGGCTCCCGCTGCAGCGAGGCGGGGATGAGACGATCAGGGTCACAGGCCAGGAGGAGTCCGGGCTCCGGCACAAAGATCGGAACCTGGTCTGGTCCTCCCGGGAACAAGGGCCGACCGCCCTGAAAAGACTCCGGTGGCAAAAAGCACCCGGGCCAGCATGGTGCCCAGCTGCGAGCTCGCGGCCTGGAGCAAGCAGAGCACTCACCAGACCCAAGCGCCCCAGGCTATTCAAAGTCGTTCAGCCGCCCGGCCAGAAGCCAGCGCGCGCTCCTTGGTGTTAGTCTGCCCTCTCCGAACGTGAGCGTACCGTGCCAACGGACTACAACTCCCAGAGTGCACTATAACGGCTGGGAACAGTTCCTCGCCAGCAGCGACAGATGTAGCAGCCAATAGACAGGAGAGACTGGCCCAACGAGCCAATCCCTCTATGGGGAAGGCGGGCTCTCCCATGGCGTAGTTCCTCCGCAGCCAGTGGGCGTGTCTGCGACTAGAGGCTTCTGCCCCGCCCCCAGCCCTGGCTCCGGGATTCTGGTTTCCTGTCCCTAGAGAGGTGAGTGTGCTGCAGGTGGGCGCGGGGGACTGTGCTGATGGTGATGTTGCCTTCCCAGGGGCCAGCCTGGGCTTGCACCGAGCCACGAAGTTGAGCCGCGCCCCGGAGTGCGGGAGCTTCGCCAAGCTCGGGGCCAGCTGGGGCGCGGGGCCCGAGCTGGGCGCTCTCCGAGGCCGGAGAGGCTGGGCCTTTGGAGTCTCTAGAACGAGCCCCCACCGTGTCTCCCAAGCCCTGCTCGCGAGCAGGAGGCTTTCGCTAACTCCTAACCCCTGGCTTGCGCCGCGGCCTGCCTGGGATCACCCTGTAGCTACCGGCGAGATGCTGGAGGTCTGCCTAACCAGAATACGGGACAGTTGGTGCAGGCTAACAGTCTGACAACTTGAACTTTTCCTAGGGATTCCTGACGGCCCCTTAGGTCATATTGATCATTTCTTCTGAGACTTCTTGCGCTTATCGCTGAAATAAAAGCAGTATTTCCCCCCCCAGTTTCCTTTTAGGACGTTATGACTTTTCTCCTTCACAAGACAGTTCTAGAGACTGTCGGAACGACAGACTCTTTCCACTCCCAGGCACTGTGTTGTCTTCAGGAGTTTGGAGTCAAGGGCAGCGAATGAGAAGGCCCTGTCTGCATCCTGTCCTCAACATCTTCAGAAGAACTTCGTTTAGCATTTAGAAAGACCTCTCCAGGGCCATGATCCCTCAGGCTTGAGCTGTTTACAAGGAGAGAGAAGCTGTCTCCTGAGCCCCAAAATGGCAGCTAAGATGGAGATAACTTTGAGCTCTCAGACCCACATTCAGGCTTCCTCCAAGCAAGAGAGACACATCATAACAAAGCTAGAAGAGAAGCCGGGGATGGCTCTGCAAAAAGGCTGCCCCGATCCTGAGGTCTCCCGCCAGAGCTTTAGACGGTTTTGTTATCAAGAGGTGTCTGGACCCCAAGAGGCACTCTCCAGGCTCAGACAGCTCTGCCGGCAGTGGCTGCAGCCAGAGATGCATACCAAAGAGCAGATTTTGGAGCTGCTTGTGCTGGAGCAGTTTCTGAACATCCTGCCCCCAGAGATCCAGACTCGGGTCAGGCATCGATGTCCAATGAGCAGCAAGGAGATGGTGACTCTGGTGGAAGATTTTCACAGAGCAGCCAAGAGACCAAAGCAGTGGGTAAGGAGGGTCTTCTTTAATGGTCCCCAGGATTTCTTTTTGATCTGGATAGTGTTTGGTCTCTGGAACCCTCCCTAATTAGAGGCCAGAAATTGACCGGATGGCTTCAAACATGTTTTCTGGCCTCTATTTTTGAGAACACCCCACTCCTTCCCTGATGTACCAGGTTTTCAGAAAACCCAGCCACTGGTCCTTCAGTGAGGAAGTAGAGGACCAAGTAAGGTTATTGGGTCTTTGCTGATAGATCTCCCCTCCATTCCTTTTGAAGTTTTCCTGCAATCAGGATCCTTAACAGACAGCCTAATCCTTTTGGGTAGGAATTTGATTTTAGGGGAACTTCATTGGACCTTGTTCCAGTCAGGTGCCTTGCGTATTGCCTTTGGATCAGGAAGTCACAGCTCAATTGGCTAGTATTCCTTCCAGCCCCCAGGCCCTAAAGTCAAACCAAAGTTGGGTCCTAAGCAGGAAGCAAACAACCACGTACTTTGGGGAATGGAAGCAGTTAGGGAACAGGAGTGGGGCAGTCCTTTTAGAGCCCACTACAACTGGGATCTCCTTACCAGGAGAGCCTTGGGTAGAACAATTTATTAGATAAAGATGGTTTTTAATGGGCCTCACTATACTGCCTCCCAGTTCTACAGAGCCTGTTTTCAGAAGAAGTAGGGAGGCAGGTGGGCATAGAGTGGGAGTCTGCTGAGCCCGTGTCATGGCCGACCCTGATGCCTGCCCTCTGATGACTTTGACTCCAGGCTTTGAGCAAGGCCTAAGCTTTAGGAGTATCCACTCAAGAAGTACTGGCTGATTTGAAGCAGCCTCATTCTTGTCATTCTCCATGTCCTTCCCTGTGCTTCCTTTGATAGTTTCAGCAGTCTTTATCAGAGTTTACCTCCAGGCCATTATCAGGAATACCCAGGGTAAAGGGGTCATTACAGAGCAGTGAGAGATCAATCTGCCTTCAGTCAGTCCTCTGGCTACACTCTAATGCCTAGGGCTTGTTCCTAGGTGGCCGTTTGTATGCAAGGGCAGAAGGTGCTCTTGGAGAAAACTGGATCCCAGCTGGGAGAACAGGAACTGCCAGATTTGCAACTGCAGACTCCTAGGAGATATCCTAGGGAGAGCTGTCTGGAAGAGGCTTCCCAGGCAGGACTTCAGGACCAGCTTAGCCCTCATCATTGGGGAAAATCCCCTCTCCTTCTGGAACCAGCCACCAAATTGGCTGGGGCAGGTAAATACTCTGTGCCTCCTCTCTCCCTCTCATCAGTATTTATCTCCATCAAAGCATTCATGGTTCTGAAAAGCCATAGGAGAGGTGTTATTTTTTTAAAATGTTGTATGTAGTAGTATATCCTTTATTCCCAAACAAATTTTACTAATTAGAGTGGTAGTGATACTACACATAAGAAGTATGGTTTTATTTTCTGTCAATGACTATTTGACAGTGCAGTACACAACAGGACTTTTCTAGTGCCTACTTTTCTATCCCTTTCAGAGCTTCCTGTAGTGAATTTAAGTCCAGATATGACCACTGATGAACTTCCATGCAAGCAGTAGCTGAGTTTCATCACTTAAAATGGTCCCATGTTTAGAAGGGGCCTAAAGAATGTTCTTTTCATTAGAGAGAAAGCTCACTCCATATTATTTTCTGCCTCTTTCTCTTCCTATGACATTTTCTATGCTTTAAACTTAATATATATATGTTTTTATTGATTTCAGAGAGAGGGAGAGGAAAAGAGAGAGAAATATCAATGATGAGAGTCATTGATAAGCTGCCTCCTGCACGCCCCCTACCAGGGATCAAGCCTGAAACCCAGGCCTGTAGCCCTGACTGGAAATTGAACCATGACCTCCTGGTTTATGGGTTGACACTCAACCACTGAGCCATACTGGCTGGGCTGTACTTTAAACTTTTGAGACCACTTCCCTAGCTATCTGTGGTATAATGCCAGTATAATTGTTAGCCCTGCTCCACACAGCCCTGTGACCTCTAAAACTGAATGACAGTGACACTTTGGTCAGTCTTGATGATGTGAATACAGGATATAATCAGCAGGTTTGAGAAGAGAGTTACAAGAAAACTAGAGCCTTGATCCCTTCAAATATGCTACATTCAATGAAACCCTTTGGTTTGATTGTTCTCAGCACTCAAGAATGGAGAAGAAATGGGGCATCCAGTAGAAAACTGTTGTGACTCTCGCCCATGTCCTGCCCCATAATCTATGGCAGTCTCTATCAGAGTTGACCTTCAGGCCATTATCAGGAAATCCCAGGGTAAAGGGGTCATTACAGAGCAGTGAGAGGTCAAGCTGCCTTCCATCAGTCCTCTGGCTGCGCTCTAATGCATAGGGCTTGTCATGGTCCTGAATAAAGTACACCATACACACTCCCTTCTACCTCAGCAGAAGGAACTGGGTGTGTGTGTGCAGTCTCTATGCTTTCATTTGATTCCCGAGAGAGTAGATTCTCATGCTTCTCATCCCTAAGATCCAACAGGGTCTTCCTTCAGAGCTGCACGGTCCAATATAGTTGCCACATGCAGCTGTTTAACTTTTATTTATTGAGATATAATTAACATACTATAAAATTCACCCTTATAAAGTGTGAATTTTAGTATAATTACACAGTTGTGCAACCATCACCACTAATTTCTGAATATTTTCATAACCTCAAAAAAGAAACCCATACCCATTAGCAGTCACTCTCCATCCCTCTTTCTCTAGTCCCTGGCAACAACTGTCTACTTTCTGTCTCTGGATTTGCCTATTCTGGACATTTCATTATCCAGAATCATACAATATGTGCTCTTTTGTGCCTGGCTTCTTTCACTTAACATATTTTTTTTAAGGTCCAAACATGCTGTAGTATGTGTCAGTAGTTTATTCCTTTTTAAGGCTAAATGATATTAAGTGGACATTTTGTTTATCAGTTGATGGACATTTGGGTTGTTTTCTCTTTGGGCTATTATGAATAATGCTATTGTGAATATTTGTTTACAAGTGAACATGTTTTTATTTCTGTTGGGTATGGAGTGGAATTGCTGGGTGATATGTTAACTGTGTTTAACTTTTTGAGGAAATGCCAGACTTTTCCAAAGAGGCTGTGCAATTCCATTGGGTCTATGGGATTCCACTTTGTTTACATCCTTGCTAACACTTGTTATTGTCAGTCTTTTTTATTATAGCCATCCTATTAGGTGTGGAGTGGTATCTCATGGAGGTTTTGAGTTATTTCTCTTATAACTAATGATGTTGAGCATCTTTTCATGTGTTTATTGGTCAATTGTATATAGTCTTTGGAGAAATGTTTGTTGGGATCCTTTGCTCATTTTTTTTTTTTTAATCCTCACCCGAGGATATTTTTTCCATTGCTTTTCAGAGAGAGTGGAAGGGAGAGAGAGAAACATCAATGTAAGAGAGACACATTGATTGGTTGCCTCCTGTACATGCTCTGATGGGAGCTGGGTATCGAGCCTGCAACCGAGGTATGTGCCCTTGGTTGGAATTTAACCTGGGACCCTTCAGTCTGTGGGCTGATGCTCTAACCACTGACCACACCAGCCAAGGCTCTTTTTACTTCCTTGATAGTATTGTTTGAAGCACAAATGTTTTTAATTTTAATTAAGTCCAGTTTATCTGTTTTTTCTTTATCTGCTTGTTTTTGGTCACATATCTAAATTACCATTGCCTAATTTGAAGTCACAACGATTTATACCTATGTTTTGTTTAAAGAGAGATTGGTTTAGTTCTCACATTTAGGTATTTGATCCATTTTGAGTTAATTTTTGTATATGTTGTAAGGTAGGGATCCAACTTCATTCTTTTGCATCTGGAAATCCAGTTGTCCCAGCACCATTTATGGAAAAGACTATTTTCCCCCATTGAATTGTCTTGACAACCTTGTTGAAAAGCAATTGATCATAATTGTGTGGGCTGCTTATTTAAATTAATTAAAAGTTTAAAGTCCAGTTTCTCAGTCACACTAGTCACATTTCAAGTACTCAATAGCTACATGTGGCTAGTGGCTGCCATATTGAATAGTGTGCATGCGCTCGCAATACACACACGCACACACATATTGCCCACATATCAGGAATTCTATGGGATAACACAGCTCTAGATCCTCTGACTTGCCCACAGGCCATTCCAGCTCATTTCCATCCTGATTCTCAATCCTGTTAGTCAGAAGTTGGTAATTTCTGTAACTAGGATGCATATCTAATCCACATTCCAAGTTCCAAACACAAGTGCTGTCAATTTTATAAGGAAAGAAAATTCCACATTTACTGGATTTACCATTATTTGAAGAAAAGGTGGTGGTCATTTAGTGTCCATGAAGAGAAAGTGTACTTGCAATGTTGAAACTCCAGCGCTTTCTTCTTTTCATTCCTTAGTTGATGTTCAGGCCTTATGGGTTTGCTCCTCCCTATTTCTCCTTTCCTAAGCCTTTCCTAAAGTTAGGAAGGAGGGAAGGGGTTGGAAAACTTGGTTCCTAACTTTAATATAAGTCAAACCATACCAGGAGCCTGTTAACTTTGCAAATTTCCAGGTACCACCCCCCAGGGATTCTATTTAAGCAGCCTGCTTGTTTGGCAAGTTCCCAGATGAGTCTAATGCAAGTTGTCAGTGGAGGACCACAGTTTGAGAAACCTTACAGTATATTTCATAACTCTTTTGCTGAGGTTTTTTTCTTCGAAGCCCAAAGAATGAAACATATTCTTTCTAATTATAGAGGCCCCCAGAACCAAAAGTGAGAACAAGGAGAATCCACAACAGGAGGGGGGTAAAGGAGCAAAGCCATGTGCAATGTCACCCAGCAGATCCAAAGGGAATGGTCTGCAGAATCCTGAACCCAGAGGGGCGAATATGAGTGAATCCCGGTTGTCACGGAGGCAGGTCAGCCCCCCAAATGCTCAAAAGCCATTCACTCATTTCCAGAGACATTGCCGGGAACTGGAATATATCAGCAGCTCCCTAAAAAGCCATCCACTGAGAGAGCTGAAGAAAAGCAAAGGAAGTAAAAGAAGCCTAAGCAGTCGTTTGCAACGTCTTAGTCACCAGACGACCCACTCAGTGAAGAAACCTTACAAATGTGATGACTGTGGGAAAAGCTTCACATGGAATTCAGAGCTGAAAAGACACAAGCGAGTCCACACAGGGGAGAGACCCTACACATGTGGAGAGTGTGGAAACTGCTTTGGGCGGCAATCAACTCTGAAACTGCATCAGCGGATCCACACTGGAGAGAAGCCATACCAGTGCAGCCAGTGTGGGAAAAGCTTTCGCCAGAGCTCAAATCTTCACCAGCATCACAGGCTTCATCATGGGGACTGAAAGCAGAGCTTTGGTTTTCCTGTTCAGAAGGAAGGCATTTATTTGTGTTTCTCCTTCCCCTTAATTGCACATAAATCACAAAGACTGTCTGCATGACTTACAAGGAAAGCAAGAGGTCCCTGAGGAATGATGGTGCACATTTCAATGTTGAGGGATCCCAGACCATGCACAGTGACAGGATAAAGAAATGGCATGTCTGAGCAGTGGTTGAAAGGGAACTGGAGTGTCTGTTGGAGAGTGGGGTTTAACTACTGAGGGAGCATCAGTATGATCCTGCAGGTGTCCCCACCCCATGTTAAATATTTCCTGCACTACTTTATTTATCCTCAAAGATATATTCTATATATAGTTATACATTTGCTATTATATCAGGCAATCTTTATCATGCATACACTTCTTTAATAAAGATGGGTGATACACAAGAGTTTCAAGGCAGAAGTTCATTGGAATATAAATCCCCTAGTATTCGTTATGAAATTCCTGGCTGTTCATAACAAAGGATACATGAAGGGAGAATATGAACATGTTTGTGTGAGGAGAGGGTTTCCAGGTAATTGGACAGTGCTGTTAATAAAATAAATAAACACACACACACATATTGAGGGATCTTTTTATATCAAAGCACCCTTGATTTGGAAAAAGAAAATCTATACAGCTGCTGCAACCCGGCCCAAGCCATAGGGAAAAGCTACAACCAGAAGCAAGTAGTGGATATAGACTGCTAAGAAGATGTCAAAGGGAATCCTTACTATCCTTTCTCACTTAGTCCAGTAGCTTTAATAACAAAATGATTGGGGTAATGAAAGTGTCCTAAAACTGGATCAGTTCAGTACATTCATAAAAATGATTGAAATGGATTAACTGTATGATATGTAATTTAAGCCAATATGAAGTTTCTAAAAATGACAATATATAAAACGTTAAAGTCCTGGAACTAGGCCTGAGAGATCATCTAATCCCATCCCTTTATTCTCTCAAAGTAGAAATTAAAATCTAATCATTATACAATTTTTATTCACCCTGGGCAAGCCAGCTGATCTCTGAGATGAGAGAAAACTTTTGGTAGATGGGTGCACTACCTCAAGCATCGATATCCTAAAGTCACTACCAGTCACCGCAGGGCTGTGACCTGAGCTGTCGTTACCCCTCTCCAGCAGAGGGTCAAGTGCACACACCTGCATCCCTGCCTTCCAGGTATTTGCACAGTTTCCTTTGTCCTTAGGACCTGCCACTCCCAGTTCCCTCCTCTCTCATCTCAAGAGTTGCCTGTTCTGCAAAGCCTTCTCTGGCAAGTTCTAGGCATACTTAGACTTAATGGCATGTCACTCCCTGCTCTACTCTGCACACCAGTGGTGCTCAAACTGGGAGTACGTTTTGCCCCCCAGAGGACATTTGGCAATGTCTGGAAACATTGTTGGTTGTGACCTGGGGGAAGGAAAGATAGTTCCTGGCTCCTAGTGGTAGAGACCAGGAGTATGGCTAAACACCCTACAGTGCACAGGATGACCCCAACAACAGAATTATCTGATCCAAAATGTCAATAGTGCTAAGGTTGGGGAACTGCACCATACACAAAAAAGGTCTTTAAGGACAAGAACCTTGTTTTACCACCATTTTAGCTGTTGGACTTAGCCCATATGCAGCCAAGAGAAATAAAAAAATAGGTGTCAGTAACTGAATAGCTAAAGGCCGCTGCTTTACCCTCAAGGTCCATTTCTGCCTGAATCAGAGATCCTGGTGACAATCTGTTGAATGCAGTGGATGAAGCCTCTTGTCTTTGGGGCAGAGGTGGACTTAATGGAAGTCCAGTGGCCTTTGTCATAACTTTTGGTGGCCCTTTAGACTAATCCATGGTCTCCTCCCCAATAACTATATTAGATATTAGAAGAGTTTATCTGCATTATTAGGCCTGGACCATCTGGTGCCTCACTCCTATCTGGTGCCTCTCACTGGTTAGGGCCTCTTGGTTTCTCATTCTGTTCCTACCTTGCCCCTCTCTTTTCCACACCAATTTCATTGTGTTTGGGTTTTTTTTAAATATATCTTTATTGATTTCGGAGAGGGCAAAGGAGAGGGAGGGAGGGGGGAGAGAGAGAGAGAGAGAAACATCAATGATGAGTCATCATTGATTGGATGTCTCCTGCACACCCCCAACTGGGGATCGAGCCTACAACCCGGGCATGTGCCTTGACAGGGAATCAAACAGTGATCTCCTGGATCCTAGGTTGATGCTCAACTGCTGAGTCACGCCCGGCCAGGCTCACTGTTGTTTCTGAATAACTTTCCTAATCCTATTTATGTCTGTATTAATTTCCTATGGTTGCTGTAACAGATAACTACAAACTTAGTGGCTTCAAACATCACAAACATCTCTTACAGTTCCAGAGGTCAGAAGTCCAAAATCAGTTTCGTTGAGCTGAAATCAAGGTGTAAGCAAGTCTGGTTCCTTCTGTGGGCTCTCAGGGGTGAATCCTGTTTCCTTGTGTTTTAGAGCTGCTAAGTGGATGCTTATATTCCTTGACTTGTGGCCCCTTCCTCCATCTTCAAAGTGTATCCCTCTAGTCTCTGTCACCACATCACCTTCTCCTCTGACTCTGACCCTCTAGCCTCCCTCTTGTAAGGAATATTGATTATATTTGGCTCACCTAGATAATCCAAGATAATCTCCCCCATCTCAAGATCATTAATATAATCACATCTGCAAAATCACTTTTGCATATAAGGTAACATTCACAGGTTCCAGGGATTCAGGTGTGGACACTTTTGGGAGGCCATGATTCAGCCAAACACACTCACCTATTGAATCAACTTGGCTAATCAAAGATCTTTTCTAAATGTGGAAGAACGTAGATTTCCACTTTTCTTATAAGAGTTGAAATAAGAACTCTTCCTTAAATAAGAGCTTTGTTTCTTTGGTATAGTTTGAGCCTGTGTGTATGTGTTTTCTCTCTTCTGATTACAAATCAGTAACTGTTGAATCTTAATGTCTGTGGACCTTGAATAAAGGTGACAAAATCACCACTCTGACTATCACTCATTCCCAAAAATTGATGCTACCTCAACTCCCCCAGCCATTTTCCTTTAGCAGATAAGGTGATGAGTGCCTGTGAAGGTCTGAAGGCCTGGAAGAAGGCTCCTGGGCATCTAGCCACATTTGCAGGTCTGTACTCAGTTCTTGCTTTTTGGTTTTTTTTTAAATATATCTTTATTGATTTCACACAGAGAGGAAGGGAGAGGGAGAGAGGTAGAAACATCAATGATGAGAGTTGTTACTGATTGGCTGCCTCCTGCATGCCCCTAACTGGAGATTGAGCCCGCAACCCAGGCATGTGTCCCGACTGGAAATCAAACAGAGATCTCCTGGATCCTAGGTCGATGCTCAACAGCTGAGCGACGCCTGGCTGGGCAGTTCTTGTTTTTTAAATCCTCATCCGAGGGATATGGTTTTTCTTTAATTGGTTTTAGAGAGAGGAAGGGAGAGAAAGAGAAAGATTGATGTAAAAGAGAAACATCAATTGGTTGCCTCGTGTACACACCCCTTCCTCTAAAATCAATAAAAACATATTTTAAAGAACATCTTAAAAAAAAAAAGTTAACCTTTGTCAGGGATAAAATCTACTCAGGCATAGAGTTCACCTTAGGTGAGACAGGCATACATAATACCCTCTTAAGAGTACATCAATTTCCAGTCTTTAGCAATGATAGTAACATATACTAATGGAATTTCATAAGTAAAATTGTGAATTGACTATAACAAATATTTGAGAGGATAACCAGATACTGCCATGTCTCATGAAAAACCATAGTCACTGTACTAGACAGAATTTTTGTGTTTTAAAAATCATCTCATCCTTTGAAAATTGCACTCTCATGCAATTTTTTACATCTACATAAATCACCCAAGGATAGGTATACCAATCCCCCTACCAACATGTGGATGAGACATGAAATCCTAATCATAAAACTGACCAAAGTTCCAAAATGCAGGAAAAACAATTACCTTACCCATCAAGGCCATATCCTCAAAACACTCCTGGGTGGTGTCTCTGCTGAGGGACCTCTGGGCAGGGTGCAGACTCACACTTTCCTCTTGAGAAAAATACACAGCCAGATCCTCAAATAGCCCACATCAGGACAAGAGGTGAGAACACCACCCCCTCATGCAGTCTAGGAAGGCTGAGAAGAGCTAGAAACATCAGATGCAAGGGAGAAAAGGGCTTGGTGTAAAATGTTCCTGACTGCTGGGGCTGGGGTATAAATAAATGGTTTCTAAGGGCTGGCGGTGGGGATTGGGAAGGAGGAGCAAAAATGGACATACTTTTTGAGTCAGTGCTATAAGGACCAGGATGGTAAATGTGAAGTTCTAGAAGAGACTACTAGGAGAGAAAAGATGAGGGAACAACTCTCCGGGAACATTAAATAAGGGTGCCCCAAGGTAAAGGAGAAGACTGAGCAGCTCAGGAAGAATCATGAAAGTCAGGGGTTCAGGGTTCTCCCAACAGCCTTCCCTTTGCTAGTCCCTCTCCTTCCATATGACACTTATTGCTAAGCTCACTGCAGCATCCCAACCCGGCCTATTTCTTCCTCTAAGTTTACCAGTCCTATAAATCAATTGTACTTCAGTGTGATTAAGAATCACCTGAAGGTTTTGTGTTTATTCAACAGGTGTGGTATGAAGCCCAGAAATCTGTAATTTGAGCAGCATTTCAGAAAGATACTTGGAACCCAGCCAGTGTGGCTCAGCGGCTGAGCATGGACCTGTGAACCTGGAGGTCACGGTTCTGTTCTGGTCAGGGCCCATGTCCGGGTTGGGGGCTCTGTGCAGCACGGAGGGGGCGTGCAGGAGGCAGCCGACGGATGATTCCCTCATCATTGATGTTTCTAGCTTTCTCTCCCTCTCCTTTCCTCTCTCTGAAACCAATTAAAAAAAAAAAAAAAGACACTTTGAGGTACTCTGTTATAGCCTTCTCCAATGGGCTCTGCTCCCCACTGGTGATTCTGAAAGTAAGAATTTGGTAAGCCATTTCTCCTCCGTGCCTGGCCTAGGAGCAAAGACAGCTTGGTGAAAGGACTGTCTTTGCTCTTGGAGATCAGGGCCCTCCCATGACATAGGGCTAACCTTCTAAAAGACCCGGAGGAGAGACCTGGTCTCACCTGGGCAGCGGTCGTCGAGAGCGTGGGCGCCATCTCGGGCGCGGGAGTGCCTTTTTCAAGACGCCACGGGGACTTCGGGTCAGAACTGGGAGGGACGAGAATAGCCCTTAGAGGTCCAATTCCGCTGCAAAACTCCTTCACGCACCCAAGGACTTAATCCCGACCCGCCAGGCCCCACATACCGCTGTGGAGCTAATGATTTTAGAAAACCTCCCGCTACCCAGGCAGAAGCACCAGAAAGCGACTCATCGAAACTCGAGACCACGAGTCCGGGCCACTGTGTCTCCCATGCTCCCATTTCCCCCTTCTTCTCCAGGAGCTGCCCCCAAACCGGCCAGAAGTGCCCGGCCCCCTAGCATTTACGCAACTCTGCCCTGTGATTGGCCAGTGTGACCGTGGCGGGGCCAGTTTTCCCTTCTTCCCGTCCCGCTCTTTTTTTATCCTCACCCGAGAATGCTTATTGATTTTTAGAGAAAGGAAGGGAGAAAGAGAAAAACACTCCCGTGAGAGAGAAACACCCATCGCTTGCCTCCCCTAGGCGCCCTGATGGGAAATGGAACCCGCAACCTTTTTGGTGTGAGGGAGGGAAGACCCTCTAACCAACTGAACCACTGGGCCAGAGCGGCGCCAGTTCTCTTGCGTGGACCGTTAAACCCAGACCCAGGGCTCACCGGGCATGCTGGGAGATGTAGTTTCTTTCCGGGTTTTCCAAGAAAGTATTTCCGGTTCCGCTGCCTGGGTCTCCCTGGTGAGCTTCGGCGCCGGCTGACGCCATCAGGTGGAGTGTTCGGATGGCTCCGAAGGGATGTAGTGTTTCAGGAACGGAAGAAAGCAAAAAGACAGGGTAACTCTGGAACCCGAAAGTGTATCGTTTCCGAAAGTTGGATACAGCAGCTGTGCCTTGTGGGCCCAAAACTTGGGTCCCGCGCGTGTGAGGTGACTGAGTGGCCAGGTGTGCGGGTTCTGGTCTTGGCCTGAGCCGTCCGCTGTGTCTTGGGCTAACTGTGGGTAGGGAATGTGGAATGTAAGGCGTTGTGTTCGTGTGGACAAAGTTCATCCAGATCAGCTTAGGCCCTGTTGGTACTCTCCGACCCAGTGTAGTCTAGGGCAGTGATTATCAACCTTTTTCATCTCATGGCACACGTAAACTAATGACAGTGGTACCTGGGTTTTCGAACTCCATAAACCCAGAAGTAAGTGCTTCTGTTTTCAAAAATACCTGGGAAGTGAAACATGCCACACACCTTCTGCTGAGTGCAAGATCCTGAGGTCTAGTTGTCGGCTGTTGATCCCTCGGTTTTTGAATGTTTCAGAACTTGGTCTTCCGGAATGGACTGCATTTGAAAACCAAGGTACCACTGTACTAAAATTCTGTGGCACACCAAAAAAATAGATTTTTTTTGCTGATCTGGCAAAAAGCAGGTATAATTTTGATTCATTTACACTAGATAGCTATTGTTGCATTGGTTATCATTTTTTAATTTGATATTCTAAGGGAAAAGAGATCAGAGCTCCTGATTAAATAGTAAGGTATTTCATATTTTAAAAATTATTGTGCACAGTAGTGTGCCTCTTGCAACACACTGAATGAAAATTGCTGCTCTAGGGGCATTATGCCCCGGGACGGCAGCCAAACTGAGATCAGGATCAGAGCCTGAAGCGGGGAGTAGAGCTGTCTAATTGCTCCTTGGAATGTTGTACGCATAATGATACCTCACATTGGACCTGCCCCACTACCACATATTTTCCACTCTAATGACACCTGGTGTTGTGGCGTAGGGATTTGGAATTTAAAAATTGAGTTCCTTCCTCTAGCTCTGCCACTAATTGCTTGGGTCTTCTTGACCAGTATATAACTTTCAGCTGCAAAGAGCTCAGAATGCCCCTCTAGAGTGTATTTTCAAAGAAGTTGTCGGTTTACAAAGGTGTTTGTTTGAAAAAACAAGGATAATAGGTAGCTTAATAGAAAATTCTGAGTCACAACATATTTTCTTATTCTAGTGCCAGGCATGTACTTGTACCTGAAAGGATACTTGAGGAATGGTTGCATGGTTATTGAAATAATATCAAAATTCACAAAATAAGTATTGGGATTTGGTGGCATATCAGAATAATTTCAGCTGCAAGTAGCAGAAAACCCAACAAAATCATGTTCGAAAATAGGGCAGTTACAGGTTGATTAATTCAGTGGTTCAATGACACCATCAAGGTCCCAATGCTCCCTTATTTCTCCTCTCATCCTCAGCATGTTGGTGAAGGTGGCAATGTATTGTGTCATGTACCTATCCTAAACCAGTCCTTATCAAGAATAAAAAGACTACTTGGCACTGTGGGAAGGACTCAGCCTCCCCTGACCATCTATTCGCACAAAATGAGGGCTCTATTGGAAAAGAAAAAGGAGAATAGATAGGTAACGAACCTGTGCCACAAGTGACATCTGTTGACAGCTAGCTAAGCGCTAGGCCTTGTGGGAATGGGCACAAAAGATGTATCTGGCTGTTCCAGGAGAAAGGAAAAAGGTGTTGAAAAAGCATGTATAAGAATGATAAGGAAAAGCTTCCCCACAGGCTAAACTAATCCAAAACATGAATGATTAAAAAGAGCTAATAGCCTAGTATATATTGGTCTAAATCTAAACCAAAAGTATGTTCATCATAGAGTCATGGTGCTGCTCAAGTAGTCCTCTTTACACTCTTCCTTTGTGCTTATTTTTAATGGTATTCTTATTCTCATTCAGGCATGTCTCATTTTGGGCTCAGATTCTCCTGTTTTTTATTTTTGGCCCTTTCATCAAGAACGAGAGGCTCTCATGTCTTTTTCCTTTGAACTATGTTCTCATTGTTACAAACAGATTAAGTTTCCAATAGCTAGAAATGAAGCTTGTGGCATTAACTCAATGGCTAACCCATATCTCTGAAATGGAGAAGGAAACAATCTTCCATAGATCTTCTAACTACCAAAACTAAGCCAGTAGAGCAAGAAAAAAAGAAGCTAGAAAGCTTGATCTTGCTGAAAGTAAACAGATGAGATATGAAGTCTAAAATAGATAAAGATTGAAAGAATAAGACTGAGTTATATGCCTAACTTGATATATATATTTTTATCTTTATTGTTGAAAGTAATACCAATGTCCCCTTCCCCCCCATTGATCCCCTCCACCCTGCATCTGCCCCAATCCCAGGCTTTCCACATACTATTGTCTGTGTCCCTGGCTTATGCATTTATGCATAGTTCTTTGATTAATCTCTCCCCACCCACTCCTCCACCCCCTCTGAGTTTCCTCATCTGTTCCATGCTTCTATGTCTCTGGATCCACTTTGTTTATCAGTTTATTTTGTTCATTATATTCCACATATGAGTGAGATCATGTCTCACTTTGTCTTCTCTGACTGGCTTATTTTGTTTAGCATAATACTCTCCAGTTACATCCATGCTGTCCCAAAGGGTAAGGAATCCTTTTTTATACCTGCATAGTATTCCATGGTATAAATGCACCACAGCTTTTTTATCCACTCATCTACTGATGGGCACTTGGGCTGTTTCCAGATCTTAGTTATTGTAAATTGCGCTATGAACATGGGGACGCATAAGTTCTTCTTGATTGGTGTTTTGGGTTTCTTAGGATATATTCCTAGAGTGCAATCACTGGGTTAAATGGTAGTTCGATTTTTAATTTTCTGAGGAAACCACACTGTTTTCCATAGTGCTGCACCAATCTGCATTCCCACCAGCAGTGTATTAGGGTTCCCTTTTCTCCACACCCTCACCAGCACTTGTTGTTCATTGATTTGTTGATGGTAGCCATTCTGACAGGTGTGAAGTGATACCTCATTGTGGTTTTAATTTGCATCTCTCTGATGATTAGTGACTTTGAGCATTTTTCCATATGTTTCTTGGCCATCTGTATGTTCTCTTTGGAGAAGTGTCTATTTAGGTCCTTTGCCCATTTAAAAAAAAAAATCATTTTTATTGATTTCAGAGAGAGGAAGGAGAAACATCAATGATGAGAGAGAGTCATTGATCAGTTGCCTCCTGCATTGCCCCTGCTGGGGATTGAGCCCACAACCGGGGCACGTGCCCTGACCAGGAATCAAAGGGTAGTCTCTTGGATCATAGGTTGATGCTCAACCACTGAGCCATGCCGGCCAGGCTGCCCATTTTTTAATTGGATTGTTTGTCTTCCTTTTCTTTTTTTAAAAATTTATCTTTATTGATTTCAGAGAGAGGAAAGGAGAGGGAGAGAGAGAGATAGAAGCACCAATGATGAGAGAGTCATTGATCAAGCCCGAAGCCTGGGCATGTGCCCCGACCGGGAATCGAACCCTGATTGCCTGATGCTCAACCACTGAGCCACGCCCGGCTGGGCTGTCTTCCTTTTCTTAAGTTGTATGAGCTCCTTATATATTTTGGATATTAACCCTTTATCAGATGTGTCATTGGCAAATATGTTCTCCCATACAGTGGGCTCCCTTTTTATCAAAATGTTCTCCCTTGTTTGTTGATGTCTTTTGCTATGCAGAAGCTTTTTATTTCGATGTAGTCCCATGTATTTATTTTCTTTCCCTAGGAGATGTATTGGCAAACAAATTGCCACGAGAGATGTCTGAGATTTTGTTGCCTATGTATTCTTCTAGGATTTTTATGGTTTCACATCTTACATGTAAGTCTTTTATTCATTTTGAGTTTAGTTTTGTGTATGGTGTAAGTTGGTCTAGTTTCATTTTTTTGTATGTACCTGTCCAGTTTTCCTAACACCATTTATTAAAGAGACTGTCTTTACTCCATTGTATGTTCTTGCCTCCTTTGTCAAATATTGATTGAGTGTAATGACTTGGGTCAATTTCTGGGTTCTCTTTTCTGTTCCACTGATCTACATGTCCTTGTGCCAGTACCAGGCTGTTTTGATTACAGTGGCTTTGTAGTATAACTTGATATCGGTATTGTGATCCCTCCAACTTTGTCCTTCTTTCTCAAGATTACTGAGGCTATTCAGGGTCTTTTATGGTTCCATATAAATTTTTGAAGTGTTTGTTCTAGATCTGTGAAATATGCTGTTGGTATTTTAATAGGGATTGTATTGAATTTATAGATTGCTTTGGGCAGTATGGACATTTTGATAGTAATTCTTCCAATCCATGAACATGGTATATTTTTCCACTTGTTTATATCTTCCTCTATCTCTTTTTGCATCATCTTGTAGTTTTCTGAGTACAGGTCTTTTACTTCCTTGGTTAAGTTTATTCCTAAGTATCTTAATTTTTTTGTTGCAATGGTAAATGAGACTGTTTTTTTTAGTTATTCTTTTTGAGAGTTCATTATTGGTGTATAAAAATGCCATCCTAACTTGATATTTTAAAAATCAGAGATGCTTGACTATATATCCTTTATATGTTCAAGTGAAATATATATATATATATTTAATATGTCTTTATTGATTTCAGAGAGAGGAAGAGAGAGGGAGAGAAATAGAAACATCAATGATGAGAGAGTCATTGATCGGCTGCCTCCTGCAGGTCCCCGACTGGGGATTGAGCCTACAACCTGGGCATGTGCCTTGACAGGGAATCGAACCACAATCTCCTAGATCCTAGATCAATGCTCAACCACTGAGCCACGCCTGGCTGGGCTCAAGTGAAATATTTTTTAAAAATATGTTTTTATTGATTTCAGAGAGAGGAAGGGAGAGGGAGAGAAAAAACATCAATGATGAGAGTCATTGATCAGCTGCCTCCTGCACACTAGCTACTGGGGATCAAGGGGATCAAGCCTGCAGCC